TTATGTGTTCAATCGAAAATTCTTGTCAGTATTACCGAGTTATAGTGCCTTTATAAGTCTGGAACTCCCCCAGTCCACCTTTCTCTTTATTCCTACTTAAGATATCATAACTTATTCTAGTTTTTTTTTTCCTCCAAATAAATCTTAACATTTTTTTAATTATTCTAAAATATGTTGCTGGTATTTTGATTGGTATCATTTGGAATCTATATAGAATTTTTGGAACAATTACCATTTTTATTATATTTATACGACCTATTCATGATAGAGTTCCCCCACCTAGTTTTCTTAGTTCATCCTTAATCTAATTTAATAATGGTATATAATTTGATCTATATAAATTCTTAGAAGATATAATTAATTTTATACCTAGATATTTTAATTCTTTTTCTCTCCATACAAAGGGAAATGCCTCCTGTAATATATTTTTCTCGCTGTTTAAAAGATTTATATTTAAAATCTCAGTTTTAGTTGGGTTAATTTTTAAGTTTGACATCTCTCCATATTCCCTCAATGATTTCATTAAGTTTGGTAATGTTATCCTTGGTTTCCGACGTAGAACAACATATCATCTGCTGCTTTATGCTCTATCTGTCCTATCCTGATCCCTTTTATATATTACTCCTTACTGTAGGCAGCAAAGATTCCAGAGACAACATACAACAGTGGAAACAAAGGACATTCCTGTCTAGTTCCATTCCGCATTCCAAAGCTCTCCGACAATTACCCATTAACCATGACTGCTGCAGAGAGTTCACTATATAATTTCCTTATCCATTCTCTTATTCTGGGTCCCATCCCCAATATTTCCAGCGTATCCAACATATAACCCCAATCCACTCTATCAAAATGCCTTTTCTGCATCTATCGAGAGGACCACTGCCAGGATTTTCTCTCTCCTACTTTTTTGTATGAGAAACAAAGATTTTAATCCATTGTCTCTACCCTCTCTTCCTGGAATGAAACCTACCTGATCCATATGTGTCCATTCCGGCATCAAGTCTTTAAACCTATTTGCCAGAAGTTTTGCATATAGTTTGGTATCTGTGTTCAACAAGGAAATTGGTCTATAGCTTGCACATTGAGTGTCATCCTTACCTTCCTTATGTATAAGGACTACAAAGGCTTGTAAAGATTCCCTCCTCATTTCCATCTCACCTCCCAATGCATTCATATATGTCCTCAATTTGGGTACTAATAATTCCTTATATTTTTTATAATATCTCACAGTATACCCATCAGGTCCAGGACTTTTCCCTGCTAAAGTACTTTTTAATACTCATTATATTTCTTCCTGCCTTATAGTTGCTTCCAGAGATTTTAATTGTTCCTCCTCAAATTTCGGTAGTCCCGCTTCCTTTAAGTATGGCCGTCTTTTTTCTATATTTCCTGCATCCTATTTACTATGGGGAATAATATTATATAGCTTATTATAATATTCTTTAAACACTCTAGCTATATCTTTAGTTGAATACATGAATCCACCTTTGTTGTCCCTTATTTTCTCTATATAGTTCCTGGATTTCTTTTTCCTCTGGGCCCTCATTAAATACTTTCCTGGTCTATCTCCCCATCTGTATCTCTCACATACCATTTTATTAAACACTCTCCTCTTATCTTCTTCCAGAAAATTATTTAATTCTTCTCTTTTGTTCATAACCCTCTGCATAATCTCTTTTGTTACTCTATTTTTATGTTTCTGCTCTAACTCCCAGAGTTCCTTCAGAAGCTTATTTATTTTTTCTCTCCTTTCTCTTTTTTGCTCCAATCGCTATCAGGATGCCTCTGATATAGGCTTTATGAGTCTCCCACACCATTGCCACAAACACCTCCTCAGAATAATTTTCCTTAAAAAATTGCTCACTTTTTTAATCTTTTGATCCGTCTCTTGATCCTGTAGAAGTGTCTTGTTTAACCTCCACAATTTCCTCCTATTCAACTAATTTCCCCATAATAATTTCATTGTGACCAGAGCATGATCCGATATTGATATCTCCTCCATTTTTACTTGAACCAGAGACTCAATAAGTCGATGGTCCAACAGTATATAATCCAATCTTGAATACGCCTCATGTGCATGACAATAAAAGGTATAGTCTCTGTCCTTCATATGCTTAATTCTCCATATATCCACAAGTTGACATTGATATAACATTTTCTTTAAAAATCTAAAGACCTACTCTCATCTCTTTGCACACGAGATGTCATATCTGAAGATCCATACACAGATTGAAATCTCCCGCCACAATTAAAACCTCCTTTCTTAAAATCCATTCATTTCCTCAGCGTGTTCTTTAGGAACTCCTCCGATTTCTTATTTGAACAGTAAATATTTGCTAAAGTACACTCCCCAATCCTGTAACTTCCCCTTCAGGAACAAATATCTCCCTCTCGGGTCTACCACACTGTCTTCCAAATAAACCTGATATTTTTTGCAAAACCTATTGCCACGCCTTTGGCTCTTTTAATTGGGGAATCTGCATAGTACCATACCAGATAATATCTGGAATTTAGTTTCACATTTGCTTCTTGTTCTAAATGTGTCTCCTGTAAAAAAAAAAAAAAAAAAACACTGAAGAGAATCTGTGCTGAATTTCCTTAAAAATCCTAAATGTCTTCCCAAAACTATTTAAACCTTTAACATTATAAGTCATAAAATTAATTTCTTCCATTCTTCTCCCTTCCTCCCTCTCCCCCCCCTCTCCTCTCCGTATCTTCTCTTTCTTTTTCTAGGTTTTCTCTAGACAAATATATTTCTTACTATTTTGCAGAGTCTAAACCTACCTAACCTTCCCCCATGCAGCAAGGGCCGCAAAAAACTGTATATTTAATTCACCATATTTTATAACTGTTCTTCCTTTCATCTTCTTCCAGATCTCTTCTTTGTCACAATAATGATGAAGTTGGACTATAACGTCTCTCGGGTTACCGTTTCTAACTTCTTGTTGAAGTCTCCCAATTCTATATACCCCATCTATTTTATATGGTTTCGCTGCAGTTCTTTCCATTATTCTATCTAACATTTTCTCTGTTATTTCCCTCAGGTCTTCTCCTTGAGAGATCTCTGGGAGACCTCTTATCCTTAGGTTATTTTTTCTAAGCCTATTTTTCTGATCTTGAAATTTATATAGCAGGTTTCTGTATTCTTTTTTCATTTCCACCATTTGTTTGCCTATGGACTGAATCACTTGGGCGTGTTTATCTATTTTTTCCTCCGCTTCCTTCACTCTAGACAACACCTGCCCCAGATCTTTATGTAACTTTGCCATTTCGTCATGTTTTATAGATTTTTCCAAACTTTTAAACATTCCTGCAATTTCTGATTTAGTTGGCAAATGTGTGTCCTGCTCTTCCAAGTTCTCCTGTGTGGACCTGTTTTCTGAGCATCTGCTTCCTCCAATTTTTGGTTAATATTAGGCAATTCCAAGCACAATCTGGAACTTTTTCCAATACGGTTTTCCAACAAATACTTTTCATTTGTTCCGTTTTGCCTCTCAGGAGTCTGTTTTTCCTGCCCGGGAATTTTTTTTTTTTTTAATTGAACTTGATTGCAGGGCCTTTGACCCACCTCCTTTTGTTGCCCTGTTTTTCATTTTTAATATATATCTGATAATTTACGTACTTCAATATCCAGATATCCACTTCTCCAACCATATATTTTCCCTTCTTCTCCTTCAACCTCTCTACCTCTAGATCCTCCTCTCCTCCGTCCCCCTCTTTCCCCCCACAGGAACTCAGGATCTTTTCCACACTTCTCTCCTTTGTATAACCTTTAAGCAGTTAAATCCAAGTTCCTCAGTCACCCAGATGACCCCCTAAATGCAACCCCCATGAACCAGTCCATCAAACATTTGCTTCCATCACAGTCACTAAAAATCATTTCAAATATTTCAAAAACAATCTTCAGCCACTCTCACTCACCCAAGTTGTTCTTCCTTCACTTCCAAGAGGGGGGGTGGCATCTGAATATTTGTCCAGAAGGGGGTTGCATGTGTATATGATTCTCACTTTCAGTATGGCTTTTGGGGATCTATTGATTCAGGGGCTCTTCTGACACTAAAGTTCCCCTGCAGCCCAGGGAATAACTTTCACTTGAGGGGGGTGGGGGAGACAGAGAGGACCGCGGCAGTGTGTGTCCTTGTAAGCCGGCCGGCTTCTCTCTCTCTCTGACACACCTCCTCTGCCTCGGTCACGTGTCTGCCTGGCTTCCTCCAGGCTCCGGCTTCCAGGACTCGGGACTCACCACCTCCTCTCGTTCCCCCGGATCCGCCCGCTCGACCGCATTGGCCCTCCACCGAGGTCTGCGGGAGACAGACCAGCCAGACCCAGAGCCACTGCAGGTGAGTCCCCTCTGCCGACCTCAATCGCCGTGCTGCTGACGGATGCTGGAGGAGCTGGGTGTCGTGAGATCTTACCTCGATCTCCCGATCGGCGCCATATCCAGGCTCCTCCCCCTACAAGATGCACTTATGCTTTCAACACGAAACGTCATCACTTTCACACCTGCAAATCATGTAGTGTTTCCATTTCTTTTGCCATATATATATATATATATATATATATATATATATATATATTATATACACACACAAACAACTTTATCCTAGAGATCTTTTGACAGTGCCTTGCTACCCATAGTTGATGTTTTGCTTCAGTTGGACTACAAGGGACTAAAATGCTCCAGGAAAGCTGAACTAATCAAAATGACCACAGCTGATCACAGTTGGAAGTCCAATGCTTTGTGTGCCATTGAGAAGGGGATTACTACACCTGATTGAGTTTACAAGTCATTTTTTTTTAATTTCTGACATGTTGGCGTTATATCTTTCACTTGAATGTTATAAATTGCACTGAGTAAAAACAGCTGGATAAAACAAAAACTGTGTGTCTTCTTCATTTCAGACTGCAAAGCAACAAAATATATTTTAAAGATGGTGATTCTTCTTTATACCCACTGTGTGTTTATATATTAACAATAAATAGACTCCAAATCGGATTACCTGAATAATGGTGTAACACATTTTCCCTGCTTCTTTGCTAAACGTAGCATCTCGCAGTGACTGCTCTACAATTACATTGGCCACCTTCTCCAGATCTACACTTGCTGGATCTGTTAAAATGTATTAAAACAGGTAAACGTATAGCAATGCATGGCAAGGAAGACATTGGTGATAACATTACTAGATTGCAGGGAATTCATGTCTCCTTACCTTTCAAGGCTGTCTTGAGGAGATTCTGTGTGTCTGCATCAAAGGCCTGGATTTTGTACTCTTCCCCCATATTCCTGATGGCAGTCACCACAGTAATCAAATACAGTCTCTATAAAACAGAAATACAATATCATAATAGAAGTCTTGCTACACTGTCGTGCTGGGATTGGATATCAGCCATGATTTAAGTATTTCCAGCTAGATTTATTTTTCAATTTGAATGGAAAGGGAAAGGGCACTTTTTTTATTTCTCTCTGTGAACCTTTTGGTGAGATTTTCCTGGTAACAGTATGTAACCAGAACAGAACGTGAAGAGGACTCTCCACTATACAGATTGCAATTAAAACATTCTTTTCCCCAATCATCTTCCAGGACAGCTACCCAAGAGATGACTGGTTCCTCCTTTAATAGGAAATACAAGCAAAAAGGTGTTTAAAAGCCCTCGCTAACCCCTTGGTCCCTCAGTTTCATGTTGTTTCCTACATTCCAGGAACAACACCACATTTATTCTTTTTCTTCAGGTGTTAGTCATCAGTAGTGCACTATATGTACCAAAGCTACCTATTCTATTGCTTAAAGGTTTTTATTTCTCTAGCAGGACCTTGCCCTAAGCTGGACTGGCATCTTATAGTTGTTTAGGTCTTTGTTGGGAGATTATTGCTCACTACATCTCCACATGACAACAATGTCACTAGTGGAGGAAGTGAGGTAAATCTCCCTACCTCAGCCTTAGAGAGCATTTTAACCTAAGAGGTTCTTGCTTGTCTCCATTTAATGCTATAACAAATGAAAATGCTACAATTTAGAAATGAAAAATGCACCCTTTATTTCTTAAAAAATATAGTAAAGTTTTATATTAACACCTTTCCGCCGCCAGTATGCAGATATCCCGCGTATCTGTGTACCAGGTCAGTGACCGAGCTCTCACCAAGAGTTCTAGGTCTCAAACCAATGATTGGGACCTAGGACTCCCGCTTCCTGGTCACCTGATCGCTATGATAACCTCTGATTGGCTATCACAGTGATCAGTTACTGTATAGCCTCCTCATGTGTTTTCGGTCTCTTCTAAATAGAGAGAAAGATGCAGCGGGTAAAATACAGTATCTCTCAGAAGTGAGTTCACCCCTCACATTTTTCTGAATATTTTATTATATCTTTTCATGTGACAACACTGAAGAAATTACACTTTGCTACAATGTAAAGTAGTGAGTGTACAGCTTGTATAACAGTGTAAATTTGCTGTCCCCTCAAAATAACTCAACACACAGCCATTAATGTCTAAACCGCTGGCAACAAAAGTAAGTACACCCCTAAGTGGAAATGTCCAAATTGTGCCCAATTGGCTATTTTCCCTCCCCAGTGTCATGTGACTCATTAGTGTTACAAGGTCTCAGATGTGAATGAGGAGAAGGTGTGTTAAATTTGGTGTTATCGCTTTCACTCTCTTATACTGGTCACTGGAAGTTTAACATGGCATCTCATGGCAAAGACCTCTCTCAGGATCTGAAAAAAAAGAATTGTTGCTCTACATAAAGATGGCCTAGACTATAAGAAGATTGCCAAGACCCTAAAACTGAGCTGCAGCACGGTGGCCAAGACCATACAGCGGTTTAACAGGACAGGTTCCACTCAGAACAGGCCTCGCCATGGTTGACCAAAGAAGTTGAGTGCACATGCTCAGCGTCATATCCAGAGGTTGTCTTTGGGAAATAGACATACGAGTTCTACCAGCATTGCTGCAGAGGTTGAAGGGGTGGGTGGGGGGTCAGCCTGTCAGTGCTCAGACCATACGCCGCACACTGCATCAAATTGGTCTGCATGGCTATCGTCCCAGAAGGAAGCCTCTTCTAAAGATGATGTACATGTCCTGTGATCGGATGAGACCAAGATTAACTGATTTGGTTCAGATGGTGTCAAGCGTGTATGGCAGCAACCAGGTGAGGGGTACAAAGACAAGTGTGTCTTGCCTACAAGTCAAGCATGGTGGTGGGAGTGTCATGGTCTGGGGCTGCATGAGTGCTGCCGACACTGGGGAGCTACAGTTCATTGAGGGAACCATGAATGCCAACATGTACTGTGACATAATGAAGCAGAGCATGATCACCTCCCTTCGGAGACTGGGCCGCAGGGCAGTATTCCAACATGATAACAACCCCAAATACACCTCCAAGACTACCACTGCCTTGCTAAAGAAGCTGAGGGTAAAAGGTGATGGACTGGCCAAGCATGTCTCCAAACCTAAACCCTACTGAGCATCTGTGGGGCATCCTCAAACATAAGGCGGAGGAGCGCAAGGTCTCTAACATCCACCAACTCCAAGATGACGTCATGGAGGAGTGGAAGAGGACTCCAGTGGCAACCTGTGAAGCTCTAGTGAACTCCATGCCCAAGAGGGTTAAGGTTGTGCTGGAAAAATAATGGTGGCCACACAAAATATTGACACTTTGGGCCCAATTTGGCCATTTTCACTTAAGGGTGTACTCACTTTTGTTGCCAGCTGTTTAGACACTAATGGCTGTGTGTTGAGTTATTTTGAGGGGACAGCAAATTTACACTGTTATACAAGCTGTACACTCACTACTTTTCAAAGTGTAGTTTCTTCAGTGTTGTCACATGAAAAGTATAATAAAATATTTACAAAAATGTGAGGGGTGTACTCACTTCTGTGAGATACTGTATGTATTAATAAACACATCACCATATTTCTAGGTAAATAGATTTCTAAAGCTGCTGTTGACATGAAATTTTTCACCACGTCAGTAACAACCCATGCAATCCATACATACAAAGAAACCAAAACAAATAAGCTCAGAAATTAATCACTTAAAAGCCACCCCACAGCAGATATACTGCTACAGGGTTGAGCAAAATCATGTAAAAAATATGTGATTCTGCATTTCCCTACCAGCGCCGCTATTGGCTGATGGATATGTCAATTAGCGGGAGACTCAGTGATTGTCAGTAGGGCTGAGAGGGGGAGATCTGCACAGCAGAGAGATACAAAGCAGCATGTCTCCCAAGTAGAACACAACACAGCACACATAGTAAAAAACACACAGCACACTGTTAACCCTTTGATCACCCCAGATGTTTTTATTAACACTGACCACTGTATTAGTGTCACTGGAGATGTCATTGCCAGTTAGTCAGTTCCCACCCAGTGTCAGAATGCCAGCCACAGTTCCGCTATAAGTCGCTGATCGCTGCCATTACTAATAAAAATAAATAAATAAAAGTTCCAGTATATATACCGCCTTTTGTAGATGCTATAACTTTCACGGAAACCAATTAATATACACTTGTTGGGATTTTTTTTAGCAAAAAAGCATTTTTTTGTTTTATGATATTTTATTTTAAAAAAATTTTTTGTTGGATATGTTTTATAGCAAAAAGTCAAAAATATTGTATTCGTTTCAAAAAATTGTCATTTTTTTTCTTTATAGCGCAAAAAAAAAAAAAAAAACGCAGAGGTGATAAAATACCACCAAAAGAAAGCACTATTTGTGGGGAAAAAAGGATATAAATTTAATTTGTAGCACTTTATGATTGCGCACTTATCAGTTAAAATAATGCAGTGCCATATCACAAAAAATGGCCTGGTCAGGAAACGGAGGTAAATCTTCTGAGGGGAAGTGATTAACGTATGTGTAATAAAATGGAATGACACAGGGGAAAAAGGCATAGAAAGCCAAGACACCAGCTGAAATCTTTCAGGAATTAGAAAGCAATCCTGCCCCTTGTCAGTGCAAATTAATATCAGCTGGTTCAGTCTCAACTGATGGCCTATAAAAAAAGTGTCTCATTACCAAGGTGTCACACAACAAACATCTCATGATGGGTAAAAGCAAAGAGCTCTCTCAAGACCTTCACAACCTTATTGTTGCAAAACCTACTGAGGACATTGGTTACAAAAAGATTTATAAACTTCTGAATGTTCCAGTGAGCACTGTTGGGGGCATAATCCGGAAGGGAAAGAACATAATTTTTCATTATAAACTATAAAGGAGTGAAAAGATTTATCAGAAGAGTTGTCCAAAAGCCAAGGACCACTTGTGGAGAGCTGCAGAAAGACCTTGAATTAGCAGGTACAATTGTTTCAAAGAAAACAATAAGTAATGCACTCAACCGCCATGACTTGTATGCACGCTCACCAAGGAACACTACTTTGCTGAAGAAAAAGCATGTTGAAGCTCAATTAAAGTTTGCACATTTAGACAAGCCTGTGAAAATACTTTGAGAAGAGTCTGGTCAATGAGAGCAAAATTGAACTCTTTGGATGCCATAATACACAATGTGTTTGGAAGGCAAATGGCACTGCACATCACCCCAAAAACACAATACCAACCGTGAAGTTTGGAGGTGGGAACATTATGGTGTGGGGCTGTTTTTCAGCATACGGTACTGACAAGCTTCATATCACTGAAGGAAGGAAGAATGGAAAAATGTACGAAGACATTCTTGATAAAAATCTGCTGCCATCTATCAGGATGATTAAGATGAAACGAGGGTGGACATTTCAGCAAGATTATATGATCCCAAACACAAAACCAAGAAAAATCTTAATTGGTTTAAAATAAAGAATGGTCCAGACAATCACCTACTCAATAGAAAATCTATGGAAAGAATTAATGAACAGAGTTCATAGAAGAGGCCCACGGAACCTTCAAGATTTGAAGACTGTTTGTGAGGAAACATGGGCAAAAATCACACCTGAGCGATGCATGCAACTAGTTCTCCATACAGGAGGCATCTCCTCTGTCATTACCAACTGTTAAAAATGGTGACATGTTCTATTCTTTTACCTACTGTATATTGTATCTTCCTCTCCTTCTCTCCATGCAGGAAAGAAAGATGAAAACAATCAAATCAAATAAACAAAAAAAATCTATATCAAGGTTATATTCAGGTTAGTGAGAGAGTTAGGGTCAAGGTAAGGTTCAATATATTTTGGGTAGGATTTTTTTTTTTTTTTAAAAAAAAAGCATTTTTTAAGTTAGTGTCGGTTAGTGGCAGTGTATTTTAAGTAGTCCTACTATGGGTACAAACAAACTACACATATGTGGTATTGCT